GGAAGTGGAATTATTCAGAAATTAAAAATTTCTTTAATTTAATAAGTAAGATCGTTTAGATGTTTACATGTATGTTATATCAAAAACAAAGAATTCGAATTTTTACCTAAATTCGATAATCAATTCTTAAATTAATGCTGAATCATGAATTTTCAAGTTTTTAATTTCAAAAATTTGATGCTTCAAGCATCCAAGTCTTTTGTGGTTTTTTTTCCAAAGTCAAGATTACATTGATGGGTGGGTACCTTCTTTTGATTAAATCAAGAAACCAATTCTTGAACTGGACAATTGGAAAATCAAGAAAAATAATTTTTTTCTCTCCAAAATTTGAACACCATGAAATTATGTATTAAAAATGTTGTACGATTTCATTTCATAGGATGTTTAAGTTCCAACTAATCTCTATTTATAGATATAAAAGGGTTTCAATCCTTATGCAATAATAATTTCACATTCAAATAGAAGTTCTAATTAAAGTTTAGCTTACATTTAATTGCATGTATAGTTTTAGAATTTAAATTACATTTATAATCAAATTTACAACTTTCATTGCAATTACAACTAAGTATAAAATTTTTATTGTAATTACAATTAAGTTCAAAATTATTATAATTACCGCAATTAAGTTTCAATACTTTATAGAGCTATCACAGGGTCCTGATCGAACATATATTTTTCAAGCTCCAATAATTAAATTCTGTCTAGTCAATCTTAGACCACCCAATCTAATTATTAATCTTTGCTTTTTCTGCTAAAGGCAAAAGATTGAACTCTTGGAATATATAAAATCACAGAAGCCAATAAATCTGTAATACTTTCCTCTGACATACTGTATGTATATTTTATCCTTGTTCCAGATCCGATAATTATTTACGAGCATAAATAACCGTTTTGCTCTTCTAATTATTCTAACTAACTTTTTCATTTTCTTTAACGGTCCTGTGAACTAATCACAGATGTCAAAGTTTAGCAATCGCTAATACTGAGCTCAGATTTTAGCCGTTCAACAGAAAATATTTAAGTAGTTACTCTATCCTTTTTTCAGGGTGATGGTTCTTGACACGAATTTATGTTCTCTACTTTGCTAATTCTCAAGTTTCCAACTCATAAAAATATTTGACTCATCGAATTGATCTCACCCATTAATGAATCAAAGAACAATTAAAATCGCAAAAAGATATAT